CAGTGAGTTTCTGGGAACTCCGACCCTCACTTTCTCTCTCCAGAAAAGCTAAAGTTTGGTGGTTGGGTCAGCCTCCAGTTTCGTTATCATCAACTCTTCCTTCGAGTCCATTTTCTCAACAACCAGGCCGAAAGCAAAAAAAAATCCCATCATTCCTTGTCTGCCATATTCATCAGGGTCACTTTCTACATGAGAACATGCAAAAGATAAGAACTTTGTTTTTTTATATTTAATATGTTATTATCACCCACCAACTTATGATAAAAAAAGGGTGAAACTTTCATCATGCATCCCATTTTCCGAAAATCTATTACAAATATTATTATTAATATTACAGGGTATAATATATACCCATTATCCATCTGTCTAACAGAAAAAAGCCACGGTAAAACTCAAGATAAGAGCACTTTTATTATGAAGTCTCTACTTTTCACTTTGATATTGTCGGCCATGAAAGAAACATCATTATGTTTTCTCAATTATTATTTTATTTGTGTCATGATGGTTAATTATAAAATAATAATTTTATTAATTTTTATGTCATGATGACTTATGATTAAATAATATTATTTCTGATATCACATGATTTATACCACGTTATTGATTTATACAACATGTGATTTATCAAACAGCTGAATAAATCATTTATTCATGATTATATATATACACACACATTTAGGCAATACCTAATATATTGTTGATATATGATACAAATCATTTACCAAACGACTGAATAAATTATTTATTTATAGAAGGCACATAGTACAATATTTTGCCTTGACAAACTTTGTCAATTTGATTTATTCATTATACAGTCGTACTTATACTGTCATTTATTGTCAGGAATTATTGAGCAACTAGATCCACTGATCAACATTGTTGCTGATTAAAGAAGTCTACCAACTTATAGACTGATGAGCCATGTGCTCATGGTGATCTCTTGTTTGACCGAACACCCACTTGCTCGGACATTTGCTTATTGTGACACCTATGTGCATGGATCCAACTCGATGACCCTACAGATAGCCCCAACTCGATGACCCTACGTATGGCCCCGACTCAAAGACTCGACTTGCGGACCCAATCCGTAGATCCGACGCATAGACCCAATATGCGAACTCGACAAGCGGACCCGAGTCATGTCGAGAATCAACTCATACTGAGTGCATGTTGACATAAAATAGATACTTGCAATGAGGAATACCACGAGCCGAGCCGCCTCGCAGCGAGCATAGCCTCTAGCCGAGCCGCCCCGCAACGAGCATCGCCTCCAGCCGAGCAAACGCCTCGTCGCGAGCATAGCCTCTAGCCGAGCAGCCTCGCAACGAGCATAGCCTCCAGCCGAGCAGTCTCGTAACGTGTGATACCTCTAGCCGAGTATTGCTTTATGTTGAGCATTGCCTTAGGTTGAGTACTGGTTCAAGACATCTAGCCACTTCGGCTCGTACATGGATTGGATTTGAAGTCTCCAGCCGAGCAGTCTCGTAACGTGTGATACCTCTAGCCGAGTATTGCTTTATGTTGAGCATTGCCTAAGGTTGAGTACTGGTTCAAGACATCTAGCCACTTCGGCCCGTACATGGATTGGATTTGAAGTCTCCAGCCAAAAGACTCTCTTGACTGAAGACTTGGGGGACTACTGTTTATACCATATTTAGGGCCTCCGTATTTAGACCTCGTATAAATACTCGGGGGACTCAAATGTAATTATGCAATAAGGGAAAGGGCAAATATGTAATAAGTGAGGAGTCTTTATTCTATAAAAGGACTCTTCATCCTCACAATTAGGGGAGGCTCATTCTCACCCTCAGATGCCATTTCTGAAGCCTCTCTCACCCTCTCTTAGAGCTCTCTCTCTCCCTCACTTCTCAGAGAAATATAATACAATCAGTGTGGACGTAGCCCAAACCTTGGGGTGAACCACGATACATCTTGTGTCATTTACATTTTATGTAGATTCACGGTCGGATTTACGTTGTACCAAGACATCCGGTTTTGTGCATCAACAACATAAAATCACAATTCATAGCATGTAATATATCAAAGAATCGACAAAGCACAATAGTATCCTCTAATCGCATTGATCACTGATCTAATCATATTAATAACAATCATATTCAACATCATTCCACAATCACCTCAAGTAACCCAATCCATGAATCAAGGAGACACAATATTAACATTTAATTATGTTAATCAGTCAACCAGATCACATATCAGTGCAAGAAATTTAATAAAGGAATTCTACATAATTCCCTGCTTGGATTCCAAGTACTAACCTGGTAATTCTAATTTATATTAACAAGGTCTGTTGTGGGTAATTCTCATTCACTCAAATCCAGGGTTTTAGACTAACTTTATGGAAATGAGCAAGAGCAAGGATTCCAGACCACTCAACGAAATCCCAAATATCAAGCGGTTCTAGTAATCTACCCAGATCTGTCACATGTAAAATCAATGCTTACATCATGGAAATGGTACATCGGGCCAATCAGACACTTAGATAAACTGCGAGGCTCGGGTGAGTGACAATAATACAAGTATGTGATATTTAGTAAAAACAGATCATCGATCACAATCTATAAACATCGAGTATAGAATCATGCTTTATGAAATCATAATCAAGTCGCTGCAAACTCTGAATGAGTTACCCAGACGCCCAACATCTTTTCTAACTCAATTCACAAGATTCTCGAAACCATTGACACAAATATATATAAAACTAAGGCTAGAGTGACCCAGTTAGGCCAAGCCTACTTCTCCAAATAATGGGATTTCAGACCACTTTACGAAATCCAACAATCTCGGGTTCCGAATCACTCAATGGAACCAAACTGAATATGATCGCCTATCCAATTTACCAAGTACAACTAATTATCATTCATCTAGAATGCGTATGGTCCCCCATCGTGGATATACCTAGCAGAACCATAATCATAATCTCGTCGTGCAGGCAATGATCACCCATCGCGAATACATCAAGCATGATCACCCCTGAATACATATGGTCCCCCATCGCGGATATACCAAGCAGGACCATATTCTAGCTCTAGGTAGTGATCACCTATTGCGGATATATCAAGCATGATCACCTCTAACAGTCCCCCATCGCGGATATACCAAGCAAGACTGTATCATATAGCTCTAGGTAGTGATTACCTCTAAGTGTGTGTGTGTGTGTGTGTGTGTGTGTGTGTGTGGCCATACAAAGATATAAGGATCACCTATCGCGGATTAACCAAGCAAGATCCATAGAAAATATGGTCCCTTATTGCGGATTAACCAAGCAGAACCAAGATAACTAAGTAGGTAATGACCCCCTATCACGGATTAACCAAGGAGAGTCACATCTACGGAACTGTTAAGTAGTGATCACCCATCACGGATTAACCAAACATGATCACTCCTAAGTATGTATAGCCATAAGGACCGTCTATCGCGGATTAACCAAGCACGATCCATAAATAATATGGTCCCCTATCGCGGATTAACCAAGTGGGACCACTAGTGACCCCCTATTGTGGATTAACCAAGCAGGGTCATGCTCGTACGACTCAATATGACCCCGACGCTTCTGGAACAATTCAAAATTTAGGAATGTGATCCTTTCTCCACATGTGCCAGCCTTCGTTTTCTGCTTGCTTGCACTGTAAAACGCTTCGTTGACTTCACCATTGAGGTCCACAAGCTCTTTTTCTGCCTTCATTAGCTTGTGGTTCTAATACTCGGTGACGCCAGTCTCAGAGTCAAGTCTCTCGCGGACCTGATTTATACTTTTCAGCGGCGTCTCTGAGTCCACATAGCTAAATGATGACATAGGATTTGCCTTCGGCAACCCCGGAAGTAGAGGAGGTTCCATGTTGTACCACTCGTGGAACTCTGAGTTAAAGCTCTTAGTTTCATGTGGGAACTTGGACATGTTTGTGGTCTCAATTGTTTTGGCTATCTAAGCAATCTAATTTTTTATGAGGGTTAATGGTTATTGGAACTATATGTGAGAAACATATTTAAACACAAGTCTACCATGATGAGGATGAAATCAGATGGGTAAAAGAGGGAATGTGTTGAAGGTGTTTATGTGGTGAGGATGTGATGCATGTAACTTTCAAACATTGTAAGAATCCCCACCACTACTTTTTTGTCCTCTAACTTGAAGGATGCTTCCAAATGTTGTTACTTTATTTCCAATATAAAAGTTAGTGTGCTATAATTCAATACATCATGATGTGCATAGGCTGGCCCAGACATATCTAACTATTTTGTAATGGTGGGGACTATACCTTCGTAGTTTCAACAAGACATGGGTTCGAAACTTAGAGGTTTTTACATTTTTTGTTTTTTCAAAACCCACTGTTATGGTTTTAACTCATCGTCTAAATGACCATTTGAAACCCATAATCCAACACCTTGTATATACTGATAACATTTTTGACTTCTCTCTCTTGGAAATCGGAGCTCAACCTAGAAATCTAGAGCTCATAGAGCTTTCTCGGCATCCACTCTTCCAAATGATAAAAATGATGAAATGAGTAAGGGTTTTTGGTATTTATATGTGGGCATTTTAGTAATTTTGGTTTTGTGCATGGTGTGCATGACTTGTGTATGGTCGGTTTATCTTATTTATGTCCCAAGATTAAGAAAATGTCCCATTTGAGAGTATTTCCCTAGTTTTTAACCACTTTGCACAAGTTTAGACTCTAGATCAGCAAAATGTGAGCTCTGTGCTTGCCGCACCATTACTTAACGACCAATTTAATGAATTGGCTAATGGTTATATGACATTAAATAAATAATAAGTAAAAGTATGAGATTCAAATATTGTATGGGGTTGGAATTAAATACAAACTTAAGGGGTCAAAATATTGTTTTCCTTAATCACGAAGTAAGTTTAAGCAACGTCTTTTTTCTTTTCTTTTTTTGGGTCAAAGTAAGTATAAGCGACGGTTGCGATGAAGCCTAAACAGTCGTAAAGTTATATCCTTTAAAAAGTAATCCTCCAGTCAAGGTAAATGCAATTGAAAAGTGCTCCCCACTAACAAAACCGCATCGTCTTCTTCCCAGTTTCCTTCCAACTGCGTCGATTTCTCAGAATACTCTCTCAGCGACCAGCCCAGAAAACCAAGAAATTTAAATTCCCAGTGGAAGAACGACGGTCTTAACCCATCAGTTTCTCTTGCCCGTCGGCTCCAATCACAAAATTTGAGAAGAAAAAGCGGCAAATTTCTGGTTTATGATCGAGAACTGAAGGAATCTGAGAAAGATCAATCGTATTCATGTACAGAAATTTCATGGATTCCCAGCGAAAGGTTTGAAATTCTCACTTTTCATGGAATTCAATTTCCGTTCGGTGATCTCTGGTCGAATAATATGAATGTTTTGCTGATTAGGGGTTTCCCATTTGCACTGTGATTGGATGGGTTACTAGGGTTAGGGTTTTCGAGCTCTTATTATCATATTTTTTCAATTATATGAAATAAAAATTTGAGGATTTTTAGCTGTGAATCTCAAAATGCATTCTGGGAAGCATGAAAATTTCAATAAAAAATCTCCAGCTTCTAGATTACATGCCCCCCACCGATTTGAATTGGGTCCTGACCCGTTTAGTAATAGTGGTAGGAGGAGTAATATGCGACTCGAGGCGGCTGATCAGTCTATTGGGAGGAATTTGAGCCCTCGGGGATTGCCAGGGGATGTGGGTTTGAGTCAAAGGACTGATTCTGTTGAAAGGAGGGACTATGGTTGGCATTTGGGTCGTGGAAGGACTGATCGGGTGAGGCGGAGGTCAAGATCCAGGTCACCACTGCAGCCTTTTGGTGACATGCGGAAAAGGCCACATTTTGATGAGGGAGTCGGGGTTTTGCCTAGGAATTATTCGCCACCTCTACTTGCACCTGTTCCTTTGGAGTTGCAACACAGACCTGGATTGGCTGAGCCTGCAATATATAGTGTGAATGACGATTCAAATAGTAGACGAGTTTACGGGTCTGAGAATAATGACTCTAGAATCAGTAATGAGGAATTGAATGGAAGCAGATTGTCAGTTGGTGGTACACATGAGGCATTGAGTAAAAAATCAATGCATGTGGAAGATGGTGCGGTAAGAGGATCAGAACCCGCACTTATCCAAGATAACACTGTACTAGGAACATATTGGCCACCTCCGGACCTGCATCCTGTGACAACCCCTGCAGAAGGCAGTGAACACCTACCATCATCATCACGGACTATGAATGTACGCCACTTTCAGCAAGAAAGGCCTCAGTACATGGATCCTGTTGCTTTGGATAGATTACCAGTGACAGAATCCTACAAAGGAGAGAAACACATTTTTCCTTCAAGGGATGGTTTGTACCCAATGATGTCAAGTGCTCTTAATACGGATTTTCATGCTAGAACCTCCACAGACATAAGGAGTGACTTTCAAGATTCCTACCGAGGTGGCCATCACTTACCTTCTATGGATGAGTTTTCAAGTAGCAGCCGGAAGTTTATAGAGTCCTCGAGCATTAATGCATATAGGCAAAGGCCACCGGCAGATTATTCTAGAGATCCTGATTCTGGCAAGAGGAGTCTGGCAATTTACCAGAGTTATAGTCCTACTAGAGGTGAGCATGATGATTATTATTTTCCCAAATCAAGGGGAATGCCAGTTGATGATCGCGGATATCCATCTGATGACTTACATAAAATGATGCCTCCACGACCTCAACTTGACTATGATCATACTCGAATGGTTTATGAGCATCAAAATTTGTCAAGACCTAGTATTATGAACCCTGTTATGGATAGAATGGATGATACTGAGGGATTTTCTGGAAATTCAAGAAGGGGCATTATGATGAATAATCCTACTTTGCAAAGGCAATCTTTAATAGACTACCCTGATTCAAGAAGAGTATCAGAGACATCAAAGCACGGTGCAGAATATTTGGGTTCAGGACGCACACATGTCAATTTAGGAAGGAGAAATCCACAAGATTATGAACTATCCCATTTCAGGGCATCCCAAGATTTTCAGGTCGCACATCCAAAAGAAGATTATGGTTTTGAAAGAGATGTGAATATGAAGTATCAGGAAAGGCTGTCTCCTGTATCAAAATATGAGTCAGAAATGCGTGGACATCCTGCTGGAATGCAGATTATGAGAGAGGAGCTTGGAATATATGAACCATCAGATAGGATGCTCAAAAGAAACTATGCTACTGAAGAACATATGAGTACACATAATCCTAGAACTATTATGTCTAGTAAGTGGACATCTAGTGAATTCCAAGATTTATATGATAGTGGTGAAGAGTGGAATGATGGAGATGTAGGCAGTTTCTGTACATCTGCATCAGCTGGATTTGATCATGATAGATACAGTAAGGCTAAGAGGGTATTTGTTGGGCGCCGTCATGATGAATATGAATATGATGATTGGTTGCCATCTCAACACTCTTTTGAAAATGCGCAAAGGCATTCAGTCAGATTCTATAAACAAGGTGATCGATATATCAAGGGTCATCAAAAGTCTGGTCCATTAAGTAGGCATAAGCCGCGCCACACTGATATAAAAAGTGGTGTTCACAAACAGCACCGAGTTTGGAAAAGACATGATAGTTATTTAGAAGATGTCCATGCAAGTGATGGTACTGATGTTGATTTATCAGAAAATGGGCTGAGCTCTGCAGGTCCTGAGCCATCCGAGGACTCTGAGGAGTTTATGCAAATGGTAAATGAAGCCTTTTTAACATTTTCTAAAAAGCTAAATATGAACTCGGCTGTTCGGAGAAGATACAAGGAACAAGGAAAGGCTGGAACTTTGTTCTGCATCGTATGTGGCCGAAGGTCTGTTTTCTTTTCTGTCATGTTCTTTCTAAGTGGGACTCCAGTTTTCATCTTTTCATTCAGGAGGTTTTTAGTATTGCTCGTATTGATGCAGTCAACTGCTGCAGTTATTTTAAGCTTTGTTACTTAGGGTTCTTTAGTATTACTCAAATCACTTGTTATGACCTTAAATTTGTGAAAGTTATGTGGTCTTTTGATTCTTTCCTTCTTGTTCGTTGGGTGAACATCTACTAATACGAAATGGTGTTTTCGGAGTTGTTCATTACCAATCATGGTTGAAATTTCCAGGAAACATGGTTTTTGTAGTGGGAAAGACAGACACCATTTGATGAAACAAGGGTCGTCCTAGTCCAGCAGAAACTGATACAGGACCTGTTAGTGTTTTTTAGTTCCTTGTTCACTAGCAAAAGTAAATGTGGATCTTCTATACATAGTTCTAGGCTTTGGTGCTGCAAAGAGTTTATGCAAATTGGTTTATTGTTTGAGGTGGAGGGATAGGATGTACATAGGATGGATTGTAGAACAAGATTGAAATGAGGTTCTTGGTTTGAAATGATACATTGATTCAAATAGGCCTCTCAGAAAGGGAAATCAATTTCTCATTCCACACTCTGATACAAACTTAATTGCTGAAGCCATTTTGGTATCCAGTTATTGGCATCCAAGTCGAAATGCCTAGTGTTTCATTACTCATACATGTACTTATTATACCTGAACATTTTAGGAAATATTCTCAGGACGTTGAAGTGGCTTTGGAGGACATTCATTCATGAAGGGACATTTTTTTTTTTTTTTTTTTTTTTGTAATGCATGCAAAAAATGTGATCATAAAGCATATCTGTAGCTTATGAAGCAGTGTTAAGTTCCATAGCTTCTCACTTGGAGTAAGTTTATCTTTGAGGTTCTGGAGTCCATCATTGTATTTTGTAGATCGACAGTATGAAGAAACTGGCCAGTTATGTAGAAACTAGTTAAGTAGAAGTTAGCTAGTTATAGTTGGTAAGAAATGGGAAAGAAGATTTGCAATGAAAATTGGAGTAATAGGTTCTGAGGGACTATAATATGTGCATGAGTAGGTTTAAAGTTCCCTTTCACAAGAGCGCACGGAGTGATCTACGAAGTCAGTGACATTGAGATCAATCATTTGGTTTGCTAACAATGCAGGGTAATAATATGATTTTTCATGTTGTTATCATGGGAAGACCAAATATTTACTTGATTGTAAGGTTAAATGTGCGGGCTACTTCCTATATGCTCTGTGGAAGATAATTTTGAGCTTTTAGAAAAGATGACTAGAACCCAAATTAGAAATAAATAATAAAATGTCATAAAACTTCTAAGGGTGAAATTAAGAAAGCATTCGTTGGACAAAGTTGTATTGAGACTTAGATGCGCATTGGTTTGTTTTGTTACTGCTCCAAGGTTGATGCGTACTTACTTTTATGAGGATATCTACTATGTCAGAGACTTGTGTCTTAAATTGATACAAGTCCGTCCCAAGCCTGATAATGTGGTAGTTTGTTGCTGGTATAAAGCATCACACCTTATGAATGTGTATATTACTGGATATGAAGGAACGAAGCCCTGCCTCAAATGAGAGGCAAGATGATTAATTTGAATCAACCAAGACTGTAGCAGTTGAGGGTCTTAAAATTGCATATGGTTTTGTAGTCACTGTTTTTTTTAATGAAGTTTGTCTTTAATTTTTGAATTTTTATATAGGATACTGATTAGGGCGTGAAATTTGTATATGATTCTACTTAAATGGGATATTGTAGATGTTTCTGCCTTGATTTTATTTTTTCTCTGGTAGAAGTGGTACTCGCGAATACTATACTTTTTCAATTTTTTATTTATCTATGCTGTGTTGCAGCTTGTCGAAGGAGTTCATGGACACTCAGCGCCTGGTAACACATGCATATATGTCTCACAAAGTTGGGCTGAGGGCACAGCACTTGGGTCTTCTAAAAGCAGTTTGTGTTCTGTTGGGATGGAGTACCATTGTCCCCCCTGACACGGTCACTTGGGTTCCCCAGGTCCTGCCCAAGGCAGAAGCTTTGGCTCAGAAGGAAGATTTGATTCTCTGGCCTCCTGTAATTGTTGTCCACAATATTTCTATGTCCGACAACAATCCTGAATGTTGGAAGGTTGTATCCATGGAGGCGCTCGAGGCTTTTCTAAGAAGTGAGTGACTTCATTTTTATTATTTTTAGTTATACAATACTTACTGAAGCTATTAAATGCTTGAGCATAAAGTTAGACAAAATATCAAATAAGTAAACTAGAAAAGAATGTAATCACGTTGTATGCAGGCTAAGCGGATATCAAGGCAAGGTACCATTTGGGTTTCTGGATCTTTAAATTATTTGGAGTAAGGTGGACAATTTTTTGTTTTGAAACTTTTGAGTTCAACATGACATGGCAGGTAACGGTTTAATCAAGGGAAGAATCAAGATTTGCCTGGGCAAGCCTGCTGACCAAAGTGTTTTGGTGGTGAAGTTCTTGGGAACGTTTACTGGGCTTGGGGACGCGGAGAGGATTCAGAAGCATTTTGCAGAGCATAAGCGTGGCAGAGTAGATTTTGAGCGAGCAACATCCTCGAATGGCAAAATTGTGGAAGCAGCAATGCAGGGAGACAACCCGGAGGAGCGATTTCTATATGGGTATATGGGCATCGTAGAGGACTTGGATAAAGTGGATTTCCATACCAGGAGCTGGACTGTGATAAAGAGCAAGAAGGAGATTCAGGACCTGGCCAATGCTCCCGTCAAACCTGGTGAGAGGTAGTTCATTGCTGTGCACAAATACTGATTTAAGAATCATTCTTTAGGTTTACCCTTGTAGAACATAAAGAGAACGTAAAAGAAAATGTATCGTGTAAAGAACTCCAAGTCAGCTATGGCTCGTGTTATTAGTGCAATACTGTATTCTGAACTCCTGGAATGCCGAATAGTTTGCTTGTAATTCATTATGTAAACATACTAATGTACCGTGTATGTGTCAATTTCGTAGTCATGTTTGTGAGGCGGTTTCAAAGATCGTAATCCAACTCACAATGAGTGTGTCACCATGTGAACTTTTTGATGATCCGAGAAGATCGACATTTTGTTAAATTTAAATTCTCGGTGTCGGTGTTAGATTTGTTTTGGAAGTAGATTATATGGTTATTTTTGGAACAGATGGCGATCTCCGCCCTTGGAATGTCACAAGTCCGTAGACTGTCCAAGCCACCGGCGATATCGGAATTAGCTGCAAAACGAGCATATCATAATAACTGAACGGATTCAAAGTAATTCTGTCAGATGCTAGTGCCGAGTCCTAAGTCACACAAAAGTGATTAGCATTCGTGTCGTGCTGCAGAACTTGTAAGGAGAAAATCTTTAACATATTACTGGCTTGAGTTGCGTTGGATGCTTACCATCCTGGGGGGAGATTCCAGAAGCTCAGGAAAAAGGACATCACATTGGCCGCAATTTGGTGGCCTGGCGGAGAAGAGTACGTCCCTGCTGCTCTTTTGCGGTAAAATACTGTTCTTTCAACTTTGCACTGGGCAGGGCCGTATCGAATATTTTGGAGCCTTGTGCGAATTTAATAAAAAGGTCTTCCGTATTTAAAAAATAAATAAAATTTTGACAATATATTCAAACTTAGTAGGTCTATTGTGCAACAAATACGAAAGCGAGGTCTATTGTGCTTGATTCTTGTTATGTCTTACGTTTGATCTCCTTTGTTTCAGAAAATTAGTCCGAAAATAATACCGACTACGGTCAGAAAGAGCCGGATGGCGTTGTATGTATGGTTACTTCAATATGACTAATGAGAGTTACTTGCTTGACATTTAAGATTCCATGCAAATACACATATTTGATCATGTTAAAAAAAAAAAAAAAAAAAAAAAAAATTATCTCTTAAGCTATTTCCTCCAAATGTACAGATCATTAATATAATCTTAATAGAGTTATCCACGAACTCACCAAGGAGATTTTTTAATTAATTTATGTATGATGATCTTGCCCGGTAATTAGCTTATGTGACTTGTGGCAAAAGCGTCCTATACAGTTTAATTTTATTAATCTTTTGATTGCTTTTAGGGCATACTTGCAACAATATTCGCATCGTAGTTGGAGAAAATTTTCTATGTATCTAAGATATAAGTTGACTTGAAATTCTTAACAGATAAAACCTTGACACCTGGCAATTTCTTGTATTACAAAGTCAGCTAGGTTTTCTTCCAAAGTAATGGTTTTCAAGAAAATTTATCTAAAATCAAATGGTGTTTTATTCTGAAGTATTGGGTTTTGAAGTGCTTTTATCTTAAAATGTAATGTTATCGAAAGCACTAGTGGAGCTAGCTACCGTGGGCTATAGCAGAGCTTGCAACTTTTTTTTTCGTCAAACACAACCACAATTGTTATTGGTGCTTTAAAATTTTCATTGTGCAATTCTAATTTTCTATATGTAAAAAAAAAAAAACAAAAGAAACAAACCTCTTATGATGAGTGCATAATTAGATTATTCTGAATGTGTTAAAACATTTTAAGATATTCCAAATAACTACCTAACGTTTTAGAAAATAAACGCTCGCTAGGTCACATACATTAAGTCAAGACATCACTAATGTAACTGATTGTGTCATTAATGTTAAGTGATGGTATAATCAAATACTGAAGCTAATTTTTACTAATACGCCATTTTAGAGTTTTGATCCGTAAATTGACCCCCTTTTAGTCAAACTAAATGCCCATAATTTAGAAATATCCAGCTCCATAAAATCCCGCTTCAATACTGTCAAGGTCATCATCAAAATGTCAAGTAATTATTTAAATTGATTTATCATACAGAGCACCCAAACAAGAAGGTTAAATTTTGCTATATTTTCACTTTTTCCTTCTTTTTTGTTTTACACCCCCAAGAAAATCGACTATTTCGACCCGTACACTATCTGATAATTTGACGATGTGAGGTTTAATAATACAAATGTACATCCAATTAAAACCTGTACAAAATTATAGCACTCAATCCATGACCTGTCCTCCAAAGGCTTCAACAACAGCCATGCGGGGGGGGGGGGGGGGCACCAACGGCTGCAAAATCCTTCCTGTAACCAGAAAACTGTTATTTCCGACTGTCATCAGGATTCAGAAACCACCTAAATTGGTCAATCAAGAACATAATCAGCAGCGGCATCCGGTGATCCGAGAACTAGGGCAGCTTCAGCGATTCTAAATGCCATCGTCGCTTTATAAGTTGACAAATCTGCGTTCTGCATGAGTAACTGAGCCCGTTGTCGTTTGCGGATAGCAAATTCCACAGATCTCTGGGCCGCAGCTTTCGCTTCTTCAACTTTATACACAGCATTCTGCTCTTGCATCGCATCTTGTTCTGCAGCCATAGCTGTATATCAATACAAGCTCAGATATACAGTTCTCATATAATAAAAAGCCAAGCTGAGAAATCAGATCTTTTACAGAAACAAAACAGATAACACTTAAACCCCTAACCGAAATACCTTTGCCCAAACCCGAAGTCAAGGTTTTATTTTCCTTCAGGGGGTGTAGCTTATAGGAAAGAAATGTTTTTTAAAAAAAAGGCAGGATTAGCATTACATGGATTCTACGAGCGACACTTGACAAAAATTAATGCGGGTACTTATAAAAACTTCAATTGGTTTCAGAAGTTTTGAGGCCTCACATGATATCAAGTGTTTGTTGCAGGCACTGGGAAGCTGATGAATTAATTAAAATTCAAGTGCCAATGCCATGTAGGCTACCCTGTAAATTTATATTAACAAGGATGGTAAAACTCACTGTACAACTAGGATTGTGCAATAAGAGATTTAAAATACCTTGCAAGAAACTCGGTTGTTTTCCTCTACCAACTTGACTTGGCTGTCGCTTGAATGATCTTCTCTTGCGCATGATAGGCTTTGGGTCTAGCAGAGATCTCTTCGACTGATACGCCTGTTAACAAAAAAAAAGTTCAGTAATGCGAACAAGCAACCGAATTATAAGAACTTAAAAATGCAGATCAGATTTACTCTGTGAACTACTCTACAACAACAACAAAGCCTTTTCCCACTAAGTAGGGTCGGCTATATGAATCCTAGAACGCCATTGTGTTCGGTTCTGTGTACTCCGAGAACTACTCTAGCAAAAGAAAATGAAGCATAATGTGGCAGGTACCTGGAACACCCTAAGCAGTGATGATACTCGCTTCTGCTTCCGTTTATTCATCCAATGACTATATACAGCCTCTATTACTTCCCTCCTTCCCATCTCCGGACAAAGATTTGCAGCTGGATTGTCATCAGAGAAATCATATGGTCTATAATAAAATGCCTTCTCGATTGCATCGACAATTAATTCAAAGTTATCCTCGGAAACATGGTCATCAAGTTCATCCTCCTCAACAAAGTCACTGTTGAACTTCTTCAGCCACTTCTCATCATCAGAGTCCATGTCATAATTTGCATTTCTCTTTCCCACGGCTCTAGACAACTCATCAACATTCATAGATATGTACGAATCGGGCCTGTGGAAAGGAGTATGGTGACCATCTGCATATCCTGGGACTTCATGCACACCGGGCACGGGGATGAACTTGACAGCTGGAGATGGGACAGAACGATCGGAGCACTCCTTGTAAAGGTCCTTGAAAATGCACCAATCAGATCGATTGGGAAATTCTAGCTTCCAACCATTATCCCCAATATTATCCGCAGACCACGTTTTAACATTCGTAAGACGGTTTTTAGAGCAGGGCCTCATTACTTTCTCTGCCTTGTGGGTGTAACGGGTTAATCCATCTTTCTTGATCACAAGAAGCCACTCTCCAGATGAAGAGGTTTCTAACATGACGGTTGCTCCATCTTCCCTGTAACATTTGCCCGCTTCAGTGATCAATATATTTGCCGAGCAACATGTAGAATCCAAATCCCGTGCTGATCCCTCCATGGTTGAACCGTCTTCTATCAGGTTACCTACAGGGGAAGTTGGAACTGACTTCCTACGCTTATTATTAGAGGCTACAGAAGAAAAAGGGTGGCCTTTCTTCCTAGAACTGATTATCTCAGAAACTAAGGCTCCATTGGGCTTCCGAAAGGCAACCAGCGAAGGATTTCTAGATCGCCTTCTGCTCAATGAACTCCGCCTCTTCTGAATACCACGGGAAGTTAAACTGTTCCTATACTGTGAGTTTCTACAAGCTAATTTTGGAACTCTTGCACTGGAATGCGAAACCGGTATGCTTTCAACACAACCCACATGGGAATCCAGCTCCCCGCTCGTCTTCCTCCTCTGCCTCCGAAAAAATCTCCGCCCATACATTCTATCATTGGAACCACCTTCCTTCTCCACATCCGCAGTGGTGCGCTTCCTCTTTCGGGTATACACAATCCCATACATCTTCTTCTGTTTAAGCTCATCTGCCATAAGCTCATCTGCCAAAAGCTCATTACTTTCAGGCTTCTTAGCCACTGGAACTTTCGAAACGACGGGGGTTTGCTTCGAACTCCGGATGTGGTGGCTCCCGGGCCATCTCTTGGGCTTCAAAGAAACAACAGATTCACTGGCATGGCTTTTCATGACTTTGAGCCAGTCCTCATCGCCACGGTGGGCCCTCTCGAGCTTGGACTCGGACGACTCGGGCCAGAGGCGGCGGCCGGACCGCAAAACCCGAGCCCCGTCCACACCGCCCTTGGCCGTCCCCATCCCGAAAACCCTCGTGGTCCGCCTCATCTCCACTGATGGCATTTCCGTGCTCAGATTCCAGAGCAGCACCACTCTGGGCGCACTCCTACTCGTCGTCCTCCTCCTTCTCCTCCTCGACTCGCTGAGTCGCCTAGTCGATCTCCGAGTCGACTCAGTCCCAGACTCGGGGTCGGGGAAAACGCGGAACTCTATGCGCTCGGTCAGACTCGGGGTTGGACTCGGAACTCGGAACGAGTTGGGTTCATTAATTACAAGAAAAAAAGAAATTAACAGATTTTTCCTATTAGTTAGAAAAAATTATCAACAACAAAAAGAAAAAGAAAGTGTTTGGCAGTTGAGAAAATGAATCAGAGAGAGAGAGAAATTAACAAGTACGATTAACAAGAAGTACACAACATCAACAGAAATACATACAGAGTGAGAGAGAGGGAGAGACTAATTTACAGGAGACGCAAACCAGATCTAAAACCAAGAGAGAGAAAGTAGAGAGAGAGAGATTGGGTTTGAGAGAGAGAGAGAGAGAGAGAGAGAGAGAAAGCGGGAGTGCTGGAGGGACGGACGGGTATCGGCTAGGGTTTATGATAAAAAGCCACAAGGGGAAAGAGGGGGGAAAACCAATCGCCGACTCAAGTTAACCGTTGGATGGAAGTTGAACGGTTGGGATTGCGATTTATTTGTTGGTTTTTATAGGGATTCGATGGTTCCAATGAGAAAAAGGAGGAGAGAGAAAGAGGAGAGTGGGTGAGTGAGGGAGAGAGGGGGGGGGGAAGAAGAAGACTGAGACCGAGGGGAGAGGGTTGATATTTTACGTAATGTGGGTAGGTAATTACTGAAATGGCCTTTGATGTGACGGGGGGATTTCAAAGGATTGTGTGGGGGTGTTTGGTCTTTTTGCGGCCGTAGGGATTTCGCATATTTGGGGATAAAAAGCCGCGACTTTTGCTCCCGTGACTTCGGGATTTAAACTACGTAAATCGTGAATGGGTAAAATTAGAGGGATTTTTAATATTACGTAATATTGAATGATAGAAATAAATAATTGAGATTAAAACAAAAAAATTTAAATAGTTATGAAAATTAAATTTTACAGCTAAATTATATAAATCATTGAAGAATATGAACATTGAGTCACACTTTGAAACTACAAGTCCGCTATAATTTTCACTAATTTTTTGTCTTTTGCAAAGTTGCAATTCTGGTTGGGTCATGTCACATCCCGGTTCAGGCCCCCCACCACATCCTAAGTTCGATTCCGTCGTAGCATAATATTGTCTGCTTTGGGTCCCGACCATACCCTCACGGTTTTGTTTCTGGGAACTCACGCGATAACTTCCCAGTGGGTCACCCATCATGGGATTACTCTCGTGTGAACTCGCTTAAGTTCGGAGTTCTGATAGAATCTGAAGCCAATGAGCTCCCAAAAGGCCTTGTACTAGGTAGAGATGAGAATATACATATAAGACTTATAAGATCCACTCTCCCGGACGATGTGAGATGTTACAGGTCAACTTAACAATTCGACTTTTAAGCCCGTTGAGCATATTTTGTTTTAATCAAAACAATATTTTTATTCTAAACTACATTAAGAGGAAGGGAAGGGTTTTGATCGGAGACTCACTAGGTTAAAGGGGAATGCGCTATCCATCACTTGCAGAGCAAAGTTTTTTTGTTTTTTGTTTGGAACAATGCAGAGCAAGTTAGAATGAGGTAAAAACTTGAAAGAATCAAACTTGATCAAATTCTTTTGTTGAGTTGGGTCGATTCATTATTTAATCATGTTTATTGTTTTTGTTTATTTAATCATCACAACCTAAAATTAGATTGTGTTGAGTTGGGTTGAGTCAGAAAAATCGCCTTTTTTTCTCTACTATGATAATAATCATGTTTATTATTTTCTTTTGATTTATTCACTATGATGGCCAGAATAGAGGTGTATAAAAAAAATAGTGTGTGCATGGATACAGTGACTTTAAATGTGCTTGAAATTACTAAGATTTTGAGGCTGATGGTTTTTGATATGTAAGTTTAGAAGTCCTAAATATTTGATGTGTATGTTTCATCTTTCAAGATAACTATTAGATTGTGAAAGTAGGCACAAGTTCTTGAAATAAAACACTCAAAAGCATTGATATTACCTCATCAACTCTTGGGTGGAAATTTTTTTCATAGAGCCAAGTATTCAAGCAATAACTCCACGTGTCATAAAATAAGCGGAGAGACGCACCTCCTCTTGTATTATGACATGTGAAATAGCGGTTGAATGCCAGGTACTTAGAAAAATCTCTCCTCACAAGTGCAAAGACACTACCACATAAACAGGTACCGAGCGAAAAAAAGGCAGTCAGAGACTCAGAAACAGACGACTAAACTTGTGCAGGCTCCGCTCGAAAAGACCCATATCTTAACAATGTGATTGTTTTATTGACAAGCTTTTCAAGCCGAACATACGACGAGATGCTCAATGACACATCATTTCTTTTCTTCTATATGGAGGCTCATCAATATGATCAAATTATGAATTCTTACATCCCAAAACTTTGGGAAAATTGGGGGAAACTCTACATATTAAATTTCTTTCACCTACCCAGATTATTACTCTCTTGTATTCTCCAATCTTATTGTCCACATTTCGACAGTAATGCCCCGATAAAACGAAGCAATCGGCTTTTCCTTCAGGCTACCTGTCACGTACGAGCAAAGAAACACAGCTTTCCTCTAATGGACTTCTAAGATGTATTACTTAGGGTAGGTCTCAAAAAATAAACCATCTTACACTGTACAAAGGGTTAATTGCAGATGCCAAGCAGGGTCAGCTCATTGCTTTATTGGACGTAGCTCTCAGTACCCTAGCGGACCAATGGTTTGTGATTCCGGCATGTCGACTCATTGCTTTATTGAACGAAGTTCCCAGTTACCCTCACCATCAATGAACCGTAATTCCAGGGAATGGAATGGTATTAGAGCAGGACGCTGAGAACACGTGAAAGCAAAAAACAATAAATAAAGTTTGTGACTCAACACTTACCCTATGGTGCTAAATTTTGAGAACTAACTCACACTAATGTCCGGCAGAGAGGTTCCAACAATAAAACCAGATTAATGTCCTAAAAGGTTCATCTCATGTACAACAAAATGCAGAATGATATACAGCTACATATAGTTATAGAAGTACTTACTTGTGAGGAGGTAACAACTGTGATATTCATGTCTTTCGCGAGCCGATAAAGTTGTTCTTCGACATCAACGCTCGTAGCACTGCCAGTTGTTCAAGAAATAGAAAAGGAAAACGGAAAAAGAAGAAAATGTAAGAAAAAAATTTGTGTAGAAAAGATATTAGATAGTGACGGACATCTCTTTAGAGTGAAATAAGAGAACAAACAAATGGGGAGTTATGCCACATACTTGGTGCATTCATCAAGGATCGCAAATTTAGGCTTGTGGAAAAATAAGCGTGCCTTCAAAACGTAAGATATCATGTCAGACAACATAGAAATCCTTGAAAGAAAATAAAACAAATTGCTGCTCAAGAAAGAGTTGAGACTCATATTATCATACCATGCCCAATCTCTGCTGTTCCCCAAGAGAGAGCGTGTCCTCCCAATTCAGATTCGCATCCCAACCACCTTCCTCTCTTCCCAAAAGATAACTCAATCGAACATTCTCCAGAATAGTTCTTAAACGCATGTCTAGAATATTGGTGTTGTCAGAAATTTCTTCACCTGAATTAGAACAATTAAAATCTTCAAAACCTGGTAGTTGAAAAGTCATTTATTTCCTAGGGTAATGGTTAGCACTTATATCTCATAATCCAAAATGAAACATATGACCCATATTAACCCACATCTATATAAGAGAAGAAATTTCTGAAAAAAATTTACCTTCTCGATACAACTTCAATGCCCTTAACTCAGCCTCCTCACAAGATAGAGGATAGATAATTTGATCCCTGAGTGTTCCCAAACATGTATACGGTCGCTGAGGAACATAAAACACTCCACAACCAGAACCAATATCTTCCTTAACATGTTGCGACGGTTGAGAGATTCTTCCACTCGTGATGGGCCAAAGACCTCTAAGAACTCTAAAGACAGAACTTTTACCACTCCCATTTGGACCTTTAAGAATCGCATACTTCTCAGTTGTAGATTCCACAGCATATTTAAGAAATAGTAATATGTGAAAAAAGAAAACAACATTAAACACTAACCAGTAACAAGCAAGCTTTTCCCAGGTACTATATCACATGTTAACTTCCTGGCCAACATTTTCTGTGATGGGGTGATAATATTAACTTCAGAGAAGGTAATGGCATCTTCAGAATGAAAATCTCTCCCCTTAGATGGTGACAGAGTAACAGTTTCAGAAGCCCCTGAATAACCATCAACTATGGATGCATGAATGAAGAAATGTCAGATAACTCTAAAATAGCTACATTATTTTATTCTAATAGATTTATCTTATACAATACTAAAAGAATATTCAACTTGGCAATTTAAACACACAAGAAGCATATACTAACTAATGAGAAAATCAGAAAACAGGCTTAGACAAAGGTACATATGCACAATTCATCTATGCGGTGGTAAGATCTTGATGTTTTTTTTCAAAAATATCATTTAGGTCATTTGTACATATGTTTCAGTCACAGAAGCCACCATCGCGAAAACAGGCTTAGACAAAGGTACATATGCACAATTCATCTATGCGGTGGTAAGATCTTGAGGTTTTTTTTTCAAAAATATCATTTAGGTCATTTGTACATATGTTTCAGTCACAGAAGCCACCATCGCCCAAGGCATTAAGTTGTAAGTAGCATAATCTTGTTTGATCAGTATACTTTTCTAGCAATGGAAAGTTCTCAGCTCTAATGCACCAATACGATAAGTATTCTCTATCCCTACAAAATGCAGACTAGTGACTATATGTCAATACCCTGATACACTTGTTTTTTTATGCAAGATTGTCAGTTTACCATGCACTACGCTTTTTTCTTTTGGGTTGGCATATAGACTTTACCATGCATCAGCCGCTATCTGTCGAATTACATTGTGGGCTATGTAGGTTTAATTCTCATTAGAACCCATAATACCATTGGGCAAGAACAGGCACAAGAGTACATTTTTCTATTACAACCTGGATAATAGGTTCTAAATGGAAACAAACCTCTAACTAAGTGGGACTAAGGATGCCCACATATGAACCTTCCCAGAAGCCAAAATGTTGGGAGACACAAGCAGCAGATAACCTTTTTTTTTTTTTATCCATGGTATTCACATCTACAGAGAGACGCATGGAATGGATCTTAATTGCTACACTAAAAAAGATGGTTACCATCTGACTATGTAACAAAGCGCTCAAGAAAACCTCTCTCAATGGCCAAAAAATGTTATACCATTAGTAATTTGAATTCATAAATGTGGTTGTCATTGAGTGGGGAAGATGAAAATCAATAGGAAAATGATGCAACTGTGACATGATTGTCGAACATAGAAAACGTACCAGATTGTGCAACATCTAGAAGCTCTTCAAGCTCAAAAATTCTGTTGATGCCGCCAGACAGTTCAAGGAACTTCCTATGCAATTCCAGAATGTCGCCGAAAGCTAAAAAGCTTTGAGATACAACAGATGCTAAGAAACGCAATGCATGTGCCAGCTCACCTGAAAGTGTTATAACATGTGAGAGATAAGAGAGATTATTATAAATGCATCTATATAATAATCATAAATAAACCCACCTTGAGTGGATATCAATGCTCGGTCTCCCTTGTGTTC